CTTTTAGCTTTACTGCTGAAACAATTACCCATCCTAACTGGTCAGAGTTCCCCAACCGACCAGAATTTTCTTGTAACTACAACACATCCAGGCGGGTTTTGAATGTCTCCAGAGAAGGAGAATCCACAGCCTCTCTGGGCAGCCTGTTCCAGTGCTCAGAGCATAACCCTTAGAGTATAAGTTGAAAGTGATTCACAGAAGCATTTTATATTTTAGTATTGTACCTTCCCCCCTCCAGATGGCTTAAAGTACTGATAACATTAAAATAATTTTATGTATTTTCCTATGCATTTCTGTTGTTCCTTCTGCATTGAGGTTTTATATTAAAATAAGGCTTTATATATATACCTCTCTGTCTGGAAATGTTTACTTCATCGAGCACAAAGCTCTAGTGTATTTATGAAATACAAGGTGTGTATATATACTAAAGCCTCAGGATATTTTGGGTATTTGAGAGTGCCCTCTAACTTTTTGATGGTTACTAAATAGATCGTGAGACCTGGTGACTTTCAGCTGCTCTGTGCGTATGAATTTGGGTCACGTAAGGACGAAAGCCTCTAGTCTTTCTGCTGCATGCATTTCTGGCATTGTTTACAATATGGGATCTTGTAGGATTGTGTTTGTTAAAAGACACTTGTTTGTTTATTTATGGACACTAATTAAACCACTTATGAAAAGTTAATATAACGTGTATTCTTAAATTTGAGGTATTTTGGGGAAGTGCTGAGATGTAATCACCTGCAAAATTTCTTCGCATATTCTCTTTTTTCACCTTCCACATCTCAGGTTGGTCCTCTCAGCGTTCAGTCAGGATTCAGTCCTGATTTTAGGTGTAGGTAGCTGAATGAGGGTTTTTTTCTCCTGTTTACTCTCGCTGTGAGTTAACCGCCTTTTGATTTTGTCCTAGGAGTTAGAGTACAGAAAGAGAGAGCAGTTTTTGATTCGCATTGACAAGGACAGTATAGAAGAACGTGTGTCCCCCCTACTCCCTTAAGTAACCAGTTCTGGAGCTGATGACCTCTCAGGTTTTGTTTTTTTGGTTTGTTTGTTGTTTTGTTTTGTTTTTAGTTGGATTGAAATATTTCCTTTTCTGCTGCTAGAAATGCAGGGCTGTCCTCCAGTTTGTTATCCACAGTCTCAAGAAAGAGCAAGCAGTTCAGTGATTCTTTGTAAAGCTAAGCAACAAGAGGCAGCAACGAAAGAAGTTGGTGACTGCATTGCATCCTTAATTTCTCAGCAGAAAGCTATTTAAAGAGAGTTAAGTGACTCTGAACAGAGATTCAGGAAAATTTATTTTGTTATTTTTCTCTGTTAACAGAAAACAAAATGACAGAGCCCCAGAACCTAGATCCAGCAAAACGGTACCGGAGGCAGGATTGGCCTGGAGAGCTGTATGAAAATGGCTCATTTTATTTTGCCAAGAGACATTTGATTGAGAGAGGCTACTTGCAGGTTAGTGCTTCTGTTTATCATGCTCTTTCAAACAATACATCTTTTACTTCTGTTATACAAGGTTCTGAATTCAATAATGTATTTCTATTTCTGATGCAGTCAGCATCTTAAGTCAGCTGCTTATTATATGTAACTTAACAGGGCTAGCTGCAGCTAGAGCAGTTCCAGTAACGGCACCCTCCGCAACAAATGAATTTATACAAATAATATTGAGTGGTATATAGCTATAAGCCTATAAAACAATACAATATTGAGTTTCACATCAGTTCACCAGGATGTAAGTGCATATTTTATAATTCATTTTAGTGTTATTAAGGTAGTGAAACTGGCCTTCATGCAGTGTCACAGGCTTCTCAGATAATCTGTAAACTTAGATTCTTGTCCAGTTTAGTCTTACACCAATTTTGTACCATAACTTAAACAGTCTTTCTTCCCTTTCCTGATGTTTTGGTCCCAGTGTAGTAATGCAGAACAAATGTATTTACTTCAGCTTTCGTTTTGCTTGTCTACAAGTGTGGTCTCTTTGTTTTCTCATGCAAGACAAGTTCTCCTTGTCTTATTATCCTTACAGATAATTACCAGTATTTGTCAGCAGAATAATAAAAAAAAAGCCTAATGTAGATATTTCTGTATTTCTAATGGAAATATCTTACTTAGGTACATCAAGAATACCAGGTTCTTATTCCTCTCTCTTTCAGATACCTCACTAGTGCAGAGATACTAACTTTAGGTCTCTATAGTTTGCACAGACCCGTGTTGTGCCAGCTAGTGCTGTGTGAACTTGCAAGCATTCATCTGAATAGTACAATTGTGTTCAATTCTACATTTTATGAAGGTTGGGCCACTAACTCTCTGAGGATCAGGGCATTTAGTTTTTTTAATTACATTGTGCTATGGTGGATATTTTTCCAATTGAAATTAAGTCTTTGCGTAGATAGCAAACAAAAAAAATAAGCATACTCTTACTAAATAAATGCTAAAGGTATTACTATCTTATTGTAATAAAACAGTGAAATCAGTGTGGTGTAATGACTGTAATACATAACATCTTTCTTACACGCTTTCTCTAGTTGTAAAATGAAAATACTTATTAACTCTTGCCCATGGAAAGTTGTTTCAAATGTTCGGTTCTTTGTCACTGGCAAAACACCATTATTGATGGTTCACTTGTATTTAAGCTACTGTGACCACCGTGTAACATTATACTTAGCTTTCATTATATGGTACTAAATTGTACAGTTTTGTATTTGCATTAACCCAAACATAACATTTTAATGGGTTCTATTTTATTTAGGGTGGTAAAATGGCCTACTATGAAATGCGTGCAGAGCACAGTGTGGATATTGATATAGACATTGATTGGCCTATTGCAGAGCAGAGAGTATTGAGGTAGAAGCACTTTTTATTCCTTTATTTCTTTGATATTGTTCATTGTTTCAATGTATTGTCATGTGAATTCATAATGTAATGTAAGTAATCAAGATCAAAGATAATTGGACAACTTTATTTCCATCTATCATCCAGTTTTTCTTATCTCTGTTGAAATCATCTGAATTACCTTTGCTATATGTTGAGGTGGAGATTTTGTTTTGTTGGTTTTGTTTTGTTTTAAATGTTCAGCCTAGGGAAAAGTGTAAGCCCCACTATACCACAGCAATGTATCAGCATGATCTCTGGCTTTTCCAGCTGAGTTGTCTTAGGCTTCCATGGTCTGGGCCACATTTACTGATGCACATGACTGAGAGTGTTCATGTAGAAGCATAATCATCTTGTCAGCTGCGTTTTCTTTGCAGCTACTCTGCGGCTCTCTAAGGAAATAATGTGTGGGAATGGAATATGTTGTCTGTGCCTTTTTCATCCTTTACTTCATTTTGGTTTTGCCCCAGATAAGTGCTGCAGAACATAACCTCTTAAGGAAATTAATCTCATCATAATTTTTAAATGGACAACGTAACAGAGCTGTATTTTTTAATTATGTTTTTTTCTTTGAAGAGGGAGAATACAGTTGGAGAGTGACAATGATGAGCAATGGGATTAGAAAAAAAAGAATTTAAGAACTGAGTCTTCTGTTTGAAGATCACATTTGTATTTGATATATTTGGTTTCTACTATGCAAAAACTTTGATCCTAAAAAGCTAACTTCTTTGTCTAGCTTTGGATATTTTGGCAAAGAGCCATTAAAAGAAGTGAAGCTGTTGGTTTGCAGTATTGATGGATGCCTGACGAATGGTCGCATTTATGTGACAGAAGATCAGAAGGAAATGGTCTCCTATGATTACAGAGATATTGTTGGTATCGATCTATTAAAGAAAAGAGGAATCCAAGTAAGTGTTGTTCTGAAGTGTGAAGCTTTATTTCTGATGTAACCTGAACATTAGAAGTTTCTAAAACCCTGCAGCATATAAGTTGGAAGTTTCTTCAGAGAGCTTTTTATCAAGAAGCATAATGCATTGGTTCAGGGTTGGGACAAATACTGTCCTTGAATCCCTTAGAGGAAAATAAGTCTTTTGAGAAAGTTCTCAATCTCATTCTCTTTTTGTGCTGAAAAGAATGAGGGTCGAAATTTTTGTGGTGTTTTGCTAGTACAAATCCTACTGTGTTCTCTGTAGTCTAGACACTCATTAATTAGAAGTTGGCCTTACCAAGCGGGGATATGTTGTTACCTTTTGGCTATAGAAGAGTAAGAAATACCCAGGCAAACTACTGGGTTCATCCTAAATCACCCATGATTGTTGCAAGGAGGGGAAATCAAACCCCAAACACTTTTGTCTGTGTAATGCTATGAAATTGCAAGAATTCACTATAAGTGAAAAACTGAAACAACACAGATTCTAACATGATGACTTTCATTATTATTGATTATAACTACTGCTACTAAATTCTGCAGCTCAGAATATTTGCTTGCTTTTATATAAAATTAGCCTCCTGGCTACTTTGTCTGTGCTGCTGCCTCTGATATAGCTAGAATAATTTTTTGGGCTAAGAACTAAGTACAGATTTAGGCTGCCTTCAAAGAGCTGTAACACAATCCTGTTGCAGATAGAGATAGGTATAGATAAGACAACGGTAGTTATACCCCAAGTAGTCTTCTCCAGAAAAATTCTTGGAGTCGGTTAGATGAGATATTCATGACATACTTTGATGCAGCTGTTGCTGCATTGGGGCAATGAAATGGAGTAGATGAATTTTCAAAATTCCCTCAGCTTCATTTTCTGTGAAGCAAAAGGAGGAGTAAGCTTGTAATTGTCATTTTGTTGCCTGTGGGAGCCCGTTTCCATACTTGGTGTGATTTGGAATCTTTTGTTAAAAACCTCTTGGTCTTGATGCTGTAGTTTATGTATTTCTAGTATATGTTGCTGATATACTTTTAATTTGTGCACCACTCCCATTTATTCTGTACTTAAAATCAGTGCCAAGTATTTGTTAGCAAAAAGCTGTTAGGGAAGATAAGCTTGTCCACAGCTTGGACAAAGAACTTGGAGGGGTTGTGTTTGAGATATTTAAAGATCTTGCGGCAATAATCTTCTGGTTTTAGCTTATCTTGTACATCGTTTCTGAAATTTCAAATTTGGAATGACCTTCCAGAGATTAATGTGCCGTGCCACTTCAGTCTGTTTAATGGTCTGTTGAAGCTCCGAAGTCCTACTGTAAGTAAAATGATGCTAGAGGAGCCATGGAAAATACTTCATAATCGTCTACAAATATTACAGAAATATTCCTTGGGATTCTCTTATTGTCTGCTGTAGCTTAGTTAGATGATACTGCACGAGATAGCATGCCACTGTACTGTGATATCCAGTATTTTATTTGGAACTTGTTGGATTTAAAAAGACAAGTGTAAATTTCCCTTTTTTTTTTTGACTCCCAAGGAGGCCTACAGAATGGTGTTTTACTTTCCCAAAGCAACTTCAAGACTGTGATGTAGTTTTGGATGCTAATTCCTTCTGCTCTGAGTTTTGATTGAATAAATCAGTTATTCAGTGCTTTTCTGCTAACTGATAGCACTTCTACAAGCAAGATTTCTACTTTTTTTTTAATAAATCAACTTACATGTCTATTTCTTTGTATGTAGAATTAATTCTAACTCTACTTTATTTTAATAGGTTCGGCTTATCTCTGAAAGAGATTGTTCAAAAACACTGTCAGCCATGCAGCTGGGATGTATAGCAAAAGTTAGTGCTACAAATAAATTGCAAGTCCTGGAAGACTGGCAAAAAGACATGGGTTTGAGCTGGAAAGAAATTGCTTACTTAGGTCAGTTCTTTTTCTTGGTAGTAAAATTTCCTGTAGTGTACAAACTTCGCAGTGCTGCTCAGCTTTAAAACGCTTTTATCTTTGTTAATACACTAAACTTAATGAGATTGATGTGCAAATTACAGCACACAATCACCAAAAGCAGGTATGTATTTTAAGACTTATTAGATTATAATCTAAATATGAAAAGCATTGATGAATCAGTGCCTAATTTGGTAAGAGAAGTCTTAGCTGTTTTTATAATGAGATTTAGGAAAGCTTTTGATATTACACAAGCTTACAGTATACAGCTGTCAGTTTTGAACTGATTCTGGTTCATTTCACATGGATATTGTATAGATTGTATTCTGAAATGGAAACAAGAAATGGACAGAATTATAACTGAAAGTTATATGATTCTGTACGAAACTGTGTTTCAGTGGCAGCTTCAGTATACAGTCCTGCAAATGCTTACTCAGTTGCTCAAATAATTTTACTACTCTTTAAAGTATCTTTCTCTTTTCCGGAGACTGTGTTAAGTGTGATCAGTATTTACACGTATCCCTAAGGTTTTCCAAGAACTGACATGTGTAAAGGGCTGTTGAGCTGCTGAGTTTAAAATTGTGGCAAGAATACAAATTTTTAAAAATAGATTAATATGCACTCAGAAAAATACTGAGTTTGTTCAGTTTTTCCCCTCTGTGCTATTTTGCCTTGTCTGTCATCTTTCTTAACAGGAAATGAAGAATCTGATATGGAATGCCTGAAGAAAGCTGGCATGAGTGGGGTGCCTGCTGATGCATGTACCATTGCTCAGAAGGCTGCTGCTTATATTTGTAAAAGCAACGGTGGCTGTGGAGCTGTCCGGGAGTTTGCAGAACACATATTCCTGTTGTTAGAAAAAGTGAACTCTGCAAGAAAGTCAGCAGGAAAGGAAACGGGGAAATGAAAACACCAGGAGAGGAAATAAGGAACTAATGAAAAGAGAGTAACACAGCTGATCAGTCCTTCTTTTCTTCTTCACCTCTCAGTAAGGCTGTATCCCAAAGGATGGCTTAACTTTCAAGTTTTACATTGCAATAGAGTTAAAAAGATGTTTCCTTCTAATATAAGACCAGCTTTGATTAAGTGTTGATACTTGTGATTGTATGCTGATAATCATGATGGTGTTCATGATTATTTTAGAAGTCATTTAAGTGCAAGGGAAGGAATGTTGCAAAAGGTAGTGCCCTATAAATCTACTCTTAATCATTACACCTGTCCTACAGGAATGGTTTTATTTAATAATCTGAATATTTTCAGGGATCAATGATTTTGCATGACTTGAGGATTTGTAATTCAGACTTTCAAAAAATATATTGTTAGTTTTGCTCATTTGGTTTACACTTCATGTATCAAATGTCAAGATGTTGTAGTTATGTGCTTGCTATCCCTAATAAGGAAGAATTTTAGCATATGCTGGAGAAATCAGGTGTAAAATAACGGTCAAACTTACTATATTTTTAAAAGGCAACTGAGTTACTGTAAAACTAGTTAATATTAGTATTGGGTAAGAAAAGCACTTAAGCATGTGTTCAGTTTTACGTTCATAAATAATTAAATGGCATTTGGAATTGTGCCTCTTGTCTTTGAATCTGTTTATGCTGGGGTTTTTTTTAAGTGCTTAAATTAACATACCCAAATACTTCACCAAATTTAGAGTTAAATTTTCCATTAACGTTGACATCTTTCCTTTGCAGAAGCTTGGTTTCTTTCTATGAAGGCTTTATTACAAAGAGTGATGAGTAAAAAAAACCAACTTTAATGTTTATGATATGGTATATTTATTGTATGCTGTTTAAAAGAAACCATAGTTGTTGATTGTGGGTTTATATAAAATATGCATTCAGACAATTTTTAGCATGTTAATTTAAAGCTAATGTATAAGTATGGTTGTATTTATGGAAAATTCAATTTTTACTGTGTCCTGATTTAAAGAACTCGGTATCTGTAAAAATTTGTAGAATGGACACTAAAAATGTGCTTCAGTTTTCAATCCTAGTATTTATCAGTGAGTCAAGTTCTATCTTGTGTTATGCTAAAAAATAAAAAATACCTGTGGTACACAGGCAGCTCCTACTGAGGTGAATAATAATGGCTCATAATTTTATTTTGTTTTTCTGCTAGACACCCAAAATATAATATCACCTGATATATTGCCCTCTGATTAACTTTCTTTACTTCCTTTTACAAAGCAAAATTTTATACCAAAATTATTTTACTGCCTATATGCAGTAGCAAGTTTAACAGAAAAATAGTACCAATCAGCTCTAAGTTATCATTTAAGTATTTCCTTTCAGTGAGGTTTTAGGTTTCTGCGCTGGATATATATCACGGGCTTTAATAGCAGGAGAGCCACATTTTGGACAGAGCTATGGACTTTGGTATAGATAGATGAATTATTTTACTTATATAGACTGTGAAGCTTCAGAAGTCTGGATTGGATGAACAATTCAGATTTGATAATGTCATATGATATTGGTCGAATTTTTGGTTACTTCACCTTTTATCGTCAAGTAACTTGCTGACTTCAAGAAGTTTCCTGTGAACAGATAGCTTTAAACAAGGTGATTTGACCAACTTGAATCTCATTCCTTTTATGTTAGAGAAAGCAAAAATATGAGTGTGATTATAATAGAAATATGAGGTGGCAGTAGAGTTTGTACCTTACTGTTTGAATCAAGAACTCTTCTAATGTTTCAGCTGCTCGCTGAATGTGCTGCAATATACATTGTCTCTACCCAAAATTTCTACATGTATCTAAAATAAATGCAGAAACAGTTTTGTGTGAGTGTTGGTAAAAAAGCAGAAAGAAATGGTAGCTAATGTGTTTTCACTTTGACAAATTCTTGCTTGGAAAAAGATGGCATAATCTTACATTGGTCTTATAGGAAGAATATGAAGAATAAAAGAGCTGTAGAGACTAAATACAAAATAAAGCCTGTTTGAGAGTATGGGAGATGAATGATCTGCTGCCTGAATGTTTCAGATTTGTATTGCCCACAATGCAAGTGAAAACCTTACTATAAACGAGTAGCAAGAGTGATGCCTTAATTACTCCTCTTGATTTTATAGAGGATGCTCAATCATAATGAAGGATTTAGGGGTCACAGAGGCAGAGAGAGTGAAGATATGAGTCACCCTGAAGGAGAAATCCCAGATCCTGGGCCACCTTCCAAAGTGTGTTATCATTTGCCAGTGCCTGTTGTTTCAGTATGTATCTTGGCACCATGATTGCCTTTCATTAGAAGTAAGTAGTTCACTCAGATTAGATTTCAGTGGTCATTTTTGTTATAGTGGGCTATTTCTGGAATAATCTCTTTTGGTCATGTGAGCACTTGTTTTTTTT